TTTTCAGTAATACATTAGCATGGGAGTGTATTGATAATGTTGATCCAATTACTTGGTGGATTGCGAATTTTGCACAAGCAGTGTCTGAATTAACACAATTAGCACGACGTATCTTAACAATTCCAACATCATCCGCAGCTTCTGAACGCAACTGGTCAGCTTTTGTAAATATTCATAACAAAAAAAGAAATCAGTTAAGTAGTAATCGTGTTTTTAAATTAGTTTATATTTATAGCAATTATAAATTACAAACCCCTCCAGATAATCAAAAAAAAATCGTCAAAAAAAGCATTAATAAGGAAATAAGTGTCAATCAATATTATGCTGGTAACGAGAGTGATGAAAGCGAACATCAAGATAATAATGAAAGTGAACATCAGGATAGTAATGATAATGACCAATTTAATATGTTAGATAATAGTAACAAAATATTAGAAACATCAATCGATAGTAATAATTATTGATAAATGTATATAAATAATATCGAATACGTAGTTATATAGGAAATAAAATCATTATTAGTTATATGCATTCGCGTATGTATTTGATTACCATATATGTATATATAGATCATTATGCGCATTAAATACTATACGCATAATGTGCATAATGCGCATAGTACGCATAGTATTGGAGAGAATTAAATGAATATATTCATAAAAAAAAGTAAGGTTTGTAAATTTCATATCATGGAATGGTATAAACTACTATGTAAAAAACCAAACTGTGAAATTAAAAATTAAAATTGATAATAAACTAAGCAAATGTGTCAAATAGCAAATCGTTGAAGATAGTTTTCGACAAATCGCCAGCCAAAAATGTAGAATCGTAATTAAGATATTCAGGAATGAATTGTGGTGGTGGTGAAGAAATTAACAAGATATTTGGAACGATTGAAGGGTTTGTGGTAGTGGTCAGGGTATTTATAGTTGTAATAATTTTAAATGGATTAATTGGTGAAGGAATTAAGTTATTATTAGTATTATTATTATCTTTGATATTAGATTCAAAAGATTCTTTTTGGTCCGCAAATACGAATTCGTCTATCTGAGTTATATTAATACAGTCATCGATTATTTCCTTGCTATTAGTTTCAACGAATAGATAATCATGTTCAGCACAATTCAATGGATTATTGGTTTGAGAAACATCTAATTGATCCAATGAGATCTCGTTAAATGTATTGTTGTTTGTGGTACATGTACTTCCAAGTACATCAACGAAATTATTGTAGTCGGTATTCAGTTCATTTGAAGATGAAAGTGAAGATAAAGATGCTAAGGAGAAATCTTCTGGTATATTTATTGGATCTTGAGTAAGAGAAGATGCAGTAGTTATAAAGGGCATAAGTCTATTTAAATAAAAATCCAATTGTCTGATGTCAATCGGAGTATACTGAGACGGTTGCAGTAAACTAAAATCAAAAATAGTACTAGACTCGGCCAAATTCATTGTGGCCGAATTAGAAGAGGATGAAGAAACATCGATAAAAGAAGGATTCGAGACTGCACAATTGTCATTGTAATTGTCTTTATCATAATCATCATCATAAAATTTATCGTTATCTTCACGAGATACAGATTCTTTTTTCTTTGGAACTATATTTATAATTGGGATACATGATTTTATGTTTCTTAAAAGCGATTCTTTGTAGCAGATCAAAGTATTTCTTGACTTTACTAGGCTGCGATTTCCATTCAGCACCGCATTCTTTAGAAATATCCTGGAATTTATAAGTAGTATTTGGATTAAGTAGACGCAGTTTTGCTTCGTAGTCTTTACGGAAGATGATGAATTTGTTTTGTTGTCGAGGATTATTCAAATCTATTTTATTTTAACGCGCTCTTTTGGCGGGTGCAAGAAGCTTATCCATAGATAGGAGTAATTATACGGAGGATTGTGGAACATTTTTTTGTCGTGTTCAGACATGGTGCTAACTATGTTGTCGATAATTGTTTGTTGCACTGAAGTAGTTGTAATAATAGATGTTGTCGCCATTGTAATTGTTGTAGTCTCGAACGTGAAAACTGAATGATTAGTGGACCACAGTAGCAGTGTTTTAATTTGATTTTTGAATTTTTTATTTTGAATTTTCTGTTATTTGCAATTTTTATTTATTATTTAAGATATTTTATCCAAAAACATTAGAGAACAAACAATGTGAAAACAGATTTTTATATAGTTTCCTGGCGACATAGAAGAATGATGGTATGACACAATGGACAATGGTAATTTTGGATAAATAGTATTCATTCACATTACATGCATTTACATGCATAAAATGAATACCAAAATATACTGTTTTCTGAGTTTTGAATCGTGTTATAGTCGAACATTGATAGACACCATAACGATAAACGGCTCAATTTTAACGTTCAGTCAGAACGAAAATTGATCGCCAATGTGTCATAATGCATGCAAAGTCGGATTCCTTATTTGGAACTAATGAATGACACGTACTTAAACACTGCTGATGCATGCACAAGGCAGGGACCCGGTGTTACGTATAGTGATATTTTACCAGAAAATAAACTGATAATAAATCTGGTAAAATATCAATATGTAGTATCACGGGCGACCAATTAGTAAACGGGAAATATTTAAAATTATACACTTTTTGTAATGCTAGCCAAAATTCAGCATAATTTTAAAATTCGGAATACGTAATTTGTACATATGATTTTAGCTATTATTTTGATTGGTCAGAAGGTTTCGTCACTCGTTTCGTCACTCGTCAGGGGTTTCGTCTGACGAATGACGTGACGAAATGTTTCGTCATCATCATGAAAATAGTTTCGTCAGGTATCATTAGTCCTAATCTGTTTGCTATACGTATAATGAAAATTTGATCGACGAATATGAATATTTGACTATTTGAATATTTTCGCTCAAATCGGATCACTGAACATTAAGATTATATGTCCTAAATGACCCTTATAGAAACTATCAATCTATCAATGATCAGCGTTTGTGATGTTCTTTGTGCTCGGAAAATTTCAGAGCATTACACATAATTTTCGGAAAGTAAGTTAGTTATGACGGGAAATGTATTGCTTTGTTGCACGTGTATAATAAATTTAACTTTTGAAATCACACATGTATTTAGGTTCTAAATAAATTTTCTTTCCAAATTGGTATTTGTATTTTAAAGCATATCGTAAAGGGCTAAAGAAAAGCCTTAGACATAAGATAATTTTGATTTTGAAAGTACTAAAAAATGCGTGGAAAATGTCGACAAAGATCTTTATAAAAACTTTAGGTATTTGGATCAGATAGAGCGAAAACTTTAAAATTATATTAATCAGTGCAAACCTACAATCAGTGTTTTCAACATTTATTTGATCAAAAATGCGGCGACGCTTATTACCAAAAATATTTATTATGTCGTGTAATTACAAATGTCTTAAAGCAAATGCGTTTACTACCATAGTAAAGATCCGGAAGGAGATGCTGAAAAACTATTATTGTACAATTGGAGTACACCTAATAAATTGCCAGTGAATAATTATCTATTATCGAAGCTTTTCAATTTTTTTCCAATTGGGACTATGCTTACTATTCGAAATCCATTTTATGATATTGGATCAGACAGGTCGATTTACAGTGGCTCACACGTGTAACGGAACACGAAAATTAACCTTCTAGAATTTTTATTTCCAAGACTATTACATGTAGTTCGAACAAAATAAAAAGTGTTCATTTGAAACCTTGAAACCACTAATATTTTTAAACATAATTTGATTTAAATCAAAATTTACAATCAGTAAATTTCTCACATTGAAGAACTTTTTTTCTATGACGGATTCAAATTTGGACCCCTAATTAAAAATATTCTACTCTATGAAATCTATCTATTTACCAATTTTCATAAAAATTGGCTCAACTTTCACCATGATTTGAATCCCGAAGGACCGAATCTATGCTAGGAGCATTAATTCATGTATTAATGTTCCTAGCATAGATTCGGTCTTTAGGATCTTAAATATCTATAAAAATTGGTAAATAGGTAGATTTCATAGAATGGAATATTTTTAATTAGTGGTCCAAATTTGAATCCGTCATAGAAAAAAGTTCTTCAATGTGAGAAATTTACTAATTGTAAATTTTGATTTAACTCACCTTATTTCACAAAATAATCTGTTGTTAAATTATTTTTAAAAAATATTAGTGGTTTCAAGGTTTCAAATGAACACTTTTTTATTTTGTTCGAACTAATAGTCATGGAAATAAAAATTCTAGAAAGTTAATTTTCGTGTTCCGTTACATGTGTGAGCCACTGTATAACTTTGGTATTCCTAATTCTACTTCTGATCCCATTTGTAATTTGTTAAATAATACAAATGCAATCCAAATCGATAAATACATTTTGAGATCGTGCATTTAGAGAGAATTTATATAGTGCGTGTATTTATAGAGGGTGCACTTAGAGTGGTTTTACTGTACATCGAGTATCTTACAAGAAACTTAACAAATTCATTATAAAACATCTCCAAACTAAGATTATATCAAAAGAAGCTAGTTATTAAATTGTCAATAATAAAAAGTTGAATTTGTTTGAGAACCAGTTTTATTAGCTTTTTGAAATTATAACTAAATATAATCCGGTTATATTTACCTGGTAATAACTGATTAATCAGTTATATAAATTCAGTTGAAACCAATTAATTGGTTATATCAAAATGTATTATAATTTTCAACTGTTTTTATCATCCTGCCAAGAGTTTTACAAATATAATTAATGCAATTTAATTATTTAAAATATGCAAATATTAATCTAAAGAAGCAGTTAAAAATTTTAATTGAACAACAAACTTATTTAGAGATTTAATTAATGTATATCTCAACTATAATTTTATACTCAAAGACATGAGCAAATATTTTTTATTTTAAAATTACTATTTTAAAACAGATAGAAACCATTTATAAAAATTATCTTTCTTGTAGTGGAAATTTTTCAAAATGGACATTATTACATTTTAAAAAATCCTATTTACAAGTTTGGTGATGAATGTGTCCTTTTAGTTGATTACTGGCATCAGAAAATAATTGTTCACTTGGTACTGAAATTGCTGGAATAGAAAGATACTTTCTTGCTAATTGAATCAGTATAGAAAAACTACTCTTATTCTTTAATCACTATCCTAACGAATTATCTTTAACTCTAATACACTTTAAATTTATATTATGATATTTCATTTCTTTCTCTTTCATATTTAATTGTATATTCTTGTCTATTAAACCAATTATTATCATGATATTACTATCTTCAGTGTTATCTGATTCATTATATAGGTTTTGTACTAATAAATATGTCTTATTTCATTCACTATTAGCAGTTGAGATATTTGAATCTTGGATTAAGAAATATGGCAATTAAGATGATATTTCTTGGAACTACCCATAATTCATCACTGAATACTTTGCATTTTCAGTACTACAGCTCATTGGAATATTCTAAAATATATGAAGAAATTAAAGTGTGTTGTGTCTTAAATTAAAATATAAGAAATTAGAAAAACTTGATGAGATAGATTTTTACAATATAAACAAAAAACAACAATTCATTCAAATGAAATTTACACCAGTCGAATGTTTACTTCAAAATTAATATCAATTTTAACTGATACAGATACGCACATTTATTTTATATTTATATTTCAGATTGATTTAAATACATCAAATATTTAGGTTCTACAAGTGTTAGATTGTATGTTCCAAATGAATGTAAATTTACACTTGATACTATTTTCATAAATTTCTTTATCATTATCTGATAAATAAGATTTTGATATTAGTATACCACACGAAATCGAAAAAAAATTACAATGTACCGAATTTCTTGCAAGAAAAACTACTGATTTAAATATTAATATAAACGTTAACTGATTTTAATGATAACCGTTCCAACTTCTAGTTAGAATTAGTGATGTTAAATCAATATTTTGCTGTTAAATCTTAAATGCAATTTTTGATTACGCATGACGATAGCAATAACAATAACGATTAAATTAAAAATTATACTTGCATTTACATGTACATGTATTAACAATTGACAAATAAATGGTCACAATATTTAGACCAATATCATAAAAAACAACTTATGGTATCGGTATTGAAAAAAATTGAATGATAAAAGTAAAGTACAGTAGATTGTTTTTAATCTGAGAGTTTCACATATTTTAATTAAAATTCATAATATTTAATTTGCGTTTTAGTAAAGGTGAATGAATATAAAAACTTTTGTGTTTTTACAGAACCTTTTGTTTCGTAAACAAAGCGTCATGAAATTGGAATAAGTGAATTTTTGATTTATTAAGCATATAAAGGGTTCCTTACTATCAAATTTTCGAACTTAATATACATGCTGTATGTTAACTAACGCTAACGTTAAATGAAAGTAAGACTCGGTGAATGAAAAAGCTTTTTATAACATTAACGTAAATGAATAAATTCATATAAAAAATTCAAAATCAATATATTTTTTCAAAATCAAAAGACTCAACCAGCTCTCCCGCTCGATCGTGACCCTTTTCATGCGCCCTTTGATACCATTTTAATGACATATCGAGATCTTTTTGAATTCAGAATCCATATTGATAACATTCAGCCACTTTGAATTGAGAGATATTCAAACGCTTTTTTCTCACTTCGATTTGTTCCATTTCCTTGAAAGTAGCATTCAGCAAGAAAATGCTGAGCATATTGAATATCAAAATTCCCTGACTCTGCTGATTTCTGAAAACACGAAAATGCTTTCTGCAAATTTCTATTAGTTCCCTCGCTGTAATAATAACATCTACCAAGTTCGAATACATCAATACTTTCATCCTCTGATAATCTCGAAAATAATTCAAATACGATTTTATCATCTCGTTGTGTTCCTAAACCATTTTGATAACAACAACCGAGATTAAATTGTCCAGTAGCATTCCCACCCTCTACAGATTTCAAATACCATTCAAATGCATTTTTTTCGTCTTTTTGAGCTCCTATACCTT